GGAGACATTTCTGATTTTCAATTAGTGTGTTTTTGATGTGTATACCCTAAATGTGCGCGTTTTTGGTGTAAACGCCCAAACCAAACCTTAGTGTGCCATTCTAGACTGCTTTGTTGAAACATTGATTTGTTACCACTGACCGACACTGGTAAAAGAAAGCTTTTATGCTTATTTATAAGCATATATTTTAATGTTAACTTACACTCCTGTTTTCCAGCTATTTAACGAAAGTGTGGCTCTGGGCACTCCACAGTAGTCTGCCAATCCAAGTGGGGGTACAGAGGGTCTGTTACCCTCCCAGCCAAACGCGGGAGGGCAGAGGACTCGAAAAGAGCTTTCAAATCCAGAGATGAGTCAAAAGGAAAAATAAAACTAAAACTGCGTTAGAGTGAAAATAAAGCCATGCTGATCAGGGTTTTGCTCACCAGATGCAGCAGTCACAGCTCATTAAAAATGCTCCATCGCATCGGACTTTACTGATTTACACAGAGCGACTGTAGTCAGTTGGCCAGCTTGTCCTCTGCGTTAATTTAAAGCATAAATATCGCTGGATCTCACATGAAATCACTGAAGGTTTGCCAGGTGTGAATAGCTATCTGCTCTACAACTACATGATCACAAGTCAACATGGGTTTCACTGACGTCAGTGGCAACACAAGGTGTCTCTGGAGGCTTCCTCTAAGCTCATAACTACGGTTTCAATCTTGCTTTGGAAGTTAATGACAACCAAGTGCTTTGATCTCAGCAGACAGTAGGATCAATGAAAAATGCTGAAAAAAGTAATAATGTCTTGACAAGAAGGCTACAAAACACTGGTCTCATCTGGGGACATGCTTATGTACCTTCAGCTGTCAGTCTCATCCAGTGGGGTTCCTGATAAACTCGCTGTGTGCCCAGACTGTCTCAAATTCACCCCGAATTCAGAGCCCTAATGATGTCTTGTTTGCACTTCCCTTCGCTTCTAAGGGAAATGCGTCTCTGCTTTCATCGCATCTGACGCTGCCCGAAAGGAGGGTTGGCTTCCATACATTTTTTGAGGAAAGAAAGTACATTTATTTTATTTATCGTGCTGTTCTCCGTTCGTATACAAAGTACACCAGCAGAGTAGAAAGGGTGATCCCAAATTTTCCACAAACATAGTTTCAGCGCTTTGAGCAGAGGTAAAGTTGACATTATGGCTCTTGAATAGAGGATTTATAGCTTTTTACACCTCCCCAAAGTGGAAATGGAGATGCCCAGTATCTCCTTTCCTACAGCCCTCCCACTACTCTAACAACTCGTATTTGCACATCATAGCTCCTAACCCAGACTTCACACGGAGACGTTTGACACCTGACCTTTAAAAACCTTTTAGGGCTGTAAAATGTACTGTTGCAAAAGAAAGCACGGCCAATTGTCCTGCTGTCTTTGAGGAACCATGATCAGCTGGGACGTGCACCGAACAGTGGTGGTGGTGTTCACATTCCCACAGAACCAAGGCGATGGTGTTTGGAGGTTCTGCACACCCAGTTCCCAAGCGAGTCAGGTGTCTGACGGTAAGGAAAGCATTTCCCAGTTAATCCTTCTACCTCAGGCTGGGATGTTGTTGGATTTTGTAAGCAAAAGAGCCAGGTCTGGTCAGAGCTTGGATGGGAAACCTCCAAGGAAAACTAAAGTGCTCCAGGAAGCGGTGTGGGTAATTCAGCTCCTGGCATTCTTCCCTCCGTCTGAGTAAATATTGAACCAGCCTCGAACCACGCTGTTGCGCCAAGGAGCATTCTGCTGCTGGGGGGGAAGATGCAAATCCAAAGATGTCAGCAAACAGAGTCGCCGGAGAGCTGAAGATGCTGTTCACAAATGTAAAGTTGCTCATCTTTGTGCTCTTGAGCAATATTCACGGACAACCATGTTACAACTACTTAAAAAAGCTCTTACTGGTTAAATTGAAGTGTGCCCTCTGAACTCTGTTATTCACTGCGTTTCCCATCAAAACTGAGCATTTTTTTAGCAGAAAAGTAAAAGTGGATTTTTGACCAAACTTTTAAAGTTCTCATTTATTTTATTTTGTTTTCTGGTTTTTATTTTTTACAAAAGGGTCCTGAAAGATATCGAAAGTTTAAGGAAAATATAGTGGCTGATCAAAACTGGAAATGAAAAACAGAAAAACAGAATGCCCACAAGTCTGAAAACTTTTGGAATAAAACAACTTGAAAATCAGGACTGCATCTCCCAGTACGTGAGGAGCGGGAAGCCTCCGGATGTGTGGCGGTGGCTCAGCACAAAGGAGAATGGGAAATGCCATGGGAGATGTTTGCCAGCCAAGAAAGCTGCAATTTCTGTGACTCACAGCATTTCCAAACTCAGGCTCTTTTCCTGCCAGAAATCAACTTTTTTTCAGGCAAAATCACCGGTTTTCTCGCTGGCTGCACAGTTGAATATGGTTCCCATTTTTAAAAGGAAGCAGCCTTCCACCCACAGGATTTTTTGCATTTTGCAGGTGGAGTTTGCGCAGCAGAAGAAGAATGAAAGAAACCACACCTGACAGGGAATTCTTCCGTCTCCCCGAGGAATCACATCCTCCGAGGAGCTGGGGTTTAGCTCTCCTTTAGTTGTCTGGCACCTTGGAGGCTGGAAGCAGTGTGAAGGACAGGGCTGAACAACATAAATGGAAGGTGAAAGAGATGTTTTATAGAATGATGCAAATTTCATGACTGCTTTATCACAGGTGAAGTGTAACTGATGATGCCTACAGGCAGCACTCCCCAGCCTAGATCTACAACTACCTGACAGAAGGCTGTAGCAAGGTGGGTGGTTGTCTCTTCTTCCAAGTACAAAGTGATAGGACGAGGAAAAGGCCCCAAGTTGCACCAGGGGAGGTTTAGATGGGATATTGGGAAAAATGTCTTCACTGAAGGGGTTGCTAAGCACTGGAACAGGCTGCCCAGGGAAGTGGTGGAGTCACCATCCCTGGGGTATTTAAAAGCCATGTAGATGTGACTCTTAGGGACATGATTTAGTGGTGGACTTGGCAGTGTTAATGTTTATGATTGGACTCCATGATCTTAAAGGTCTTTTCCAACCTACATGATTCTATGATTGAATGAGGAGGAATGGGAGGAAAACCTCAGGACACGCTCCAACAGCTTAAAGCTGAGCTTCACTCATTTGGAGTATGAAAAGAATAATTACTTAGGACTAGATGGAGTGACCTTCACATATCCCAGGGTCAAAATTTCATGAGCTGTTTCCAAACCTTCTCCGTAACTGAGATATTTTTCCTAGACTTGCTGTTTCACATGGAGCTCATCAGTAACTGGCAGCAGACAGAGTCAAATTCCAGCATTGGGAATACCGCTTTGTCTCTCCATGTCCTTGTCTGTTGTGCCTCACCTCGGCCACCTTCACAAGGGACACCATCGTCACCCAGCTGCTGCGGAGCCAGATGCCACGGTGTACTAAAGCTCCTTCAAGTCTCTAGACTAAAGCAGTGATGAAAGAGTCAGCTAGATTTCTGTGTTGAAAATGATTTTTTTTATTATTGCAAATGTACACATTACACTACTGATAATCCACAGAAATTTAGAAAGCTATCGTCTGCTAAAATTTCATGATTACAAAACTTCACAAAATTTGTTACAACTAAAAAACCCACCTTCAGGAGTATATAAATAGAATTTTGAGCATAAATAACAGTAACAAAATAAACAGATGTATGTATTCAATAAATTAATTATAAATATTGCATTGGCAATGAAGTGCTAGGTCAGAAGAACACCAGTATTTCCAGTGGAGCTTTTCTTGTATAGAAATCTCTATTATAAATGAACCTTTGGAAACAAGTAGAATGCCTGAACCCCTTTTCTCACGTCATGGGGTTTTTTCTTTTTTTTCTTTTGTTTCACTTTGGTTATTCCTTTGCCAAATTGTTACAACGGGAGAACAGAACTGAAGACATCAGACACCCACTTTTGGGCCACGAGGTACTCATCCCTTCCTGCAAGAAGGACGGCGTGGCTGACCCAGTTCTGCGGCATGGAAGTCACTAAGCTGTCTCTCCACTGATTCTCAGCGATGCAGAATGAAGCCTGGAAGGGGCTGGAAAGAATTGCTGACGGTTAGAGGTTAAACACAAAAACTTATTTTGCAATTGATTTGACCTATACATCATCCATTTCCAGTCTTGCGCTCTGTTTGCTAATGATACACGTGCTTATATACAACAGAACCTTAATTTAACCATGAATTTGAGCTGCTCATTCGCTAGCTGATGGACGTAAATGCTAGTTCTGTGCACTCTTCCAACCACGCATGGAGCTCTCACGAATGTGAATGAGAACTCTCTGCTGGATGATGATGGTGCCACAGTGAGCGTCAATGAGCCTATAAAAGAAATCAAAGATCCAGTTTTCCAAAGTACCCTGTAGCAATAAGGGAAGGAAGAAATTTTCTCTTTCTTCCCTTATTTCCTAAGGGAAGAAAAAGCTCAATATACAAGCAGGATTGTTTTTTCAGTGGTATGCTTTCAACAGCAAGTTTCCCCAGGACATTGTCAGCAGCTTTTCAAGAAACAGCGTTAACACTAGTTCACGAAACCACACTTGCTAGGTTTTCCTGAATCATGTTTTGTTCCAAATGTTTGTCTTTAAGGCCTCTGAACCTCCCTGTAAATGGACAAAGGTTTTTCTGCATCTGTTCCTATGATCAGAAATAACAAGTGAATGGTCATAAGTGGTAATGAAGTTGATGTAGAAAAACTATAATTATTTTATAATCACCATGGTAATGGAGGATCTCTGATGAAGTTTGTTAAGATTTTCTTACTTAATCCTTCTTTTCCAAATAAAACTATGGATAGGCAATTCTTCAGGAAAGCCTCTGGGCACTCATCTCTTACAGGTACAAAGCATTGCAAGGAAAAGTGTGGCTCCATACTGATATACTCAAAAAAGTTCGAAATATCACTACATGAAAAGCTAAAAACCCTGCAATCCTTCTTTAAAAACACGTCTGCGTGATCAGAGTCATTTCTGAAAGCTGGGGCTCTTCACTGGTGACAGTTTGGAGGTGATGCCAAAGGGGTCCATGCTGTCCGTTTCGAGAGGCGAGGAGTAGACCTCTGGTTCGAACGCCTGGCTGTAATCACCGTATTCGCCAAAGTCCGTTGACTCCACGGGCATGGTGTTGATCATAGGTAAGAAGTGAGACAGTGGAAGAAAATCTTTTCCTTTGAACTGTTGTCTTTGCTTGGCACTACTCAAAGACACCAATATTCCATATTTTTTTGATTTATACACATTGTAGCCATCTGGACGAATCTCCTCTTCAAAGGAACAATCCTCGGTGGAATACCTGAGCTGAACAGCAAGGAATAATGAGAATTACACATACGCCCACCAGACTTAGTGTATTCAACCACAACGTAAACCTTGGAAGCAACCAGCCCATCACCCTTTGCTGTCAGTGGGGGTGTCCCTCTGGCTCGTCACCAGTGCCCCAGTTCGGGGAACCTTGCAAACCCCTTGCTGGTGAGCTGCCCACTGCCGCTCTGCCTGGCTGCTGCAGGGATGCAGGTGGGACCATTGCTCTGGTGAATGCTCTTTCAGTGATGGACCACAGCTGCTGAGATGAAGTGCCCTGAAGCACCCTGAAGTGGTCAGGTAGTTGGACTAGATCATAGTTGTAGGTCCTGTGCAGTTGAAATATTCTGTTCTATAAGAAAGAAATTCTTTGCTATGAGAATGGTGAGGCCCTGGCACAGGTTGCCGAGAGAAGCTGGGGCTGCCCCCTCCCTGGGAGTGTTGAAGGCCAGGTTGGACAGGGCTTTGAGCAACGAGGTCTCGTGGAAGCTGTCCCTGCCCATGGCAGAGACGTTGGAATGAGATGATCTTTAAGGTCCCTTCCAGCCCAACCCAACCCAACCCATTCTAGTCTAGTCTAGTGTAGTCTAGTCTATCTTCCCAGACTGCACACAGTATGCATTTTGGGTTATGAGGCCATTAAAAGACCTAATCTAGAACTCCTGAAGTTAATGCACATCCATCACATTAAATAAGCTTTGAATCCTGGATGGGTACTTCTCCACAGCTGCCACCCTTATCCTGATCTGAGCAGAAGGAGAAGGAATCTCAGATGACAGCACTCATTTATATAAATTGTCCTTAACTGCTGACAGTACTTCACTGCAGTCATAAGCCCGAAGCCAAGAACTCTCGGGTATGAAACTCCAGCTCTATTACAGATTTCCCTGTGCAAGGGCTTCAGGATCCGGCCCGCAGAAAGGCAGTGCTGTCAAAGGCAGCACTTACACAAACACGGGCAAATAGTGAAATGATTACTAGAGAGGTAACTGCTGGGTTTTTTTACTCAGCATTTACTGAAATTACAAAAGACTACTTAACATGGTGTTCTTTTCTCGTTACACATTAGTTAGAACTATCAGATTAATAACAGCACAAGTTAAAATTTTGTGTAGAAGAATGTATTTTCTTAGGTATGACTTTGTAGAATTACATTTGCGACAAGCTGAGCAGATAGTAGATTAGGATTGTGTATTACTAGATCAGACCTTTCCAGATTGTTACACTAGCGCTGTATCAGGCTCAGCCACTGCAGGTGATTGAACTCACGGTCAATAAAAGACAATTGCTGATTATGTCTCAGTCTGCAGTGATAAAAGTGTCCTGACATGGATGTTCTGCCTGTCTGAATAGAGATCGTAGCTGATACTCTTCAGTCCTTTCTCAAACACCCTCAATAATAAGGAGTACGATTAAACGTATGCATTTAGTTTTCTTTTCAAGGCACTTTTAAAACTAATCAAGTAATTTTAAAAAAGGCATTTTCTCCAATTAAAATTATGCAATATTTATCCTTCTACACACTTTATATCTCAGAAAAATACATGTCTATGGTACAAATCTACAGCTGAAGTGTTAGCTGTCTTTATTTCTGAGAGCTTAGCCTCACTAGCTAGGATGATGAAATAAAAAAGCTTCTTGAGCAAGTGCACATTACAAATAGCAGTTATTGATTGTGTCCGATGTGTCTCAGCTGTATCGTTCCCCATTCATTTCATTGGGATTGACTAGTATATATTTTTTTTAAAGTACCTAACACGGTGTAAGTATTTCCAGACTATTTTTTTCACAGGAGGAATTTGTAGTAGGTCGGTATATTCAGCAGTTACATGATTTCCCCCTAGACTACAGACTACGGCATATTGCACATTCAAAAATCAACCCTAGTCATCGATTTCCCAGTGTTAAAAAAGGGCGTGCTTCAGGCGTGCGAGAGGTTGCCGAGTTCAGTCCCCACACCATATCTGCCCTTTCGTTCTTCCACTCCTGAGCTGATAAGGCAAAGAGCTGCCTGCAGAGCTGCCTGCCCGGGCTGTTAGCAGAGAGGTGACAGCAGGTGTCCGCAACATACAGATGTGACAACATGGCTACGTGCCCTTCTACTTTCAGAAAAAAAAACGTGCAATTACTACTAGACACCAACAAACCCGATCTCAGTCAAGGCATAGGCATAGGCATATACCTTCATAGCAGTGTTGTATGAAAGTTCTTTTTAAATTCTGTGACCGCCAAAGTCCGGCCAGCAGCTCCAGCGGGAGCAGGACCCAGGCTCTGCTTTGTTTTCATCGGTCGTTTTGCTTTGGATATACATTAAAACATCAAGCTAATAATTGACCTACTGTGTCGGCTGAACCTGTGCACCTTATCACGGCATCGATCGATTCCAGCCCAGAAAAGCAAGGGGATTCAGACAGAAAGGCTTAATCCTACGCCGTATATGCATTTAGAAACATCACTACACCAGTATCGCTCTTTGTAAAGATACTGGGAGTTTTGACAACGGGCCAAGTCCTTGCCCGATTGAAATCAGCAGAAGTTTTGCCGGAGTATCAAAGCAGAACCAAGCTGTATCTTTACTATGGCGTAATAAAAAGCCATCGCTCCATGAAACTCGGGCTCCTGTAAAGTAGTCATACACAGGCGGAATCTGAATCTTACCCTGCGAATTCTAGAGTTGGCAACTTACTCCCGCAGCTTAAGAAACCAAGTTTACTTTGCTGATAATGACTAGCTGATAGGCTGACATACCCAGGGAAAAAAGCATGACCTGACAAAGTGGTGTCAGCGAGTCTCTTTGGAGTCTCACAGGTGTGCTGTTATCGCGGGTCAGAAGTGAGACAGCGGAGAAGAGTCCTTCTTCCCCTCAAAATCCCGTTTCGGTTTGGTACCACCTCAGGGATGGCAACCCCACGTTTGCACGGCAGCCGTCTGCCTGCGTCTCCTTTCCAAAGGAATAATCTTGATTTTTTTTCAGAATACCTGACCTGAATGGTGAGAAATTATTCTGATTCTATGGCCCAACTTAATCTCTGCGGCAGAAATGCAGCCATCCAGGCAATTTTGCCCCGGACTGTATTTTCAGCCTGTTGTGGCGGGGGATGCGCAATACCCGCTTTGCTTTCTAGATGATGTTTCCTTGCTGCCTTCTAATAACCCTGACGGCCTTGCGTGCAGGCGACAGTGCCAAGAACCCCGAGAAAAGGGTGAGGGGAGAGAAAAGGGGATGGTGGCGGCGCGGGGGGGTGAGTGGGACCCGAAAGCTTGGTTAACCCATCACCGACTGGAGCGAAAGTAAAGTTACAGCAGCTCTTTGGCGAGCAGCTCCCCAGGGGGAAGGCGAGCCCCAGGGCAGAGCCGCCCGGCACCGGTCCCTCCGCGTCTCACCCGCCCGCTAA